GGTACTGCACAAATTAGTACACATAAATACACGCAGATGCACACACATAAACTATTAAAATAATTACCAAGCAGAACTCGGGAGGCAGAAGTAGGTGTATCTTTGTGAGTTCAAGGCCAGTCTAGTCTACAGAGTGAGTTCCAGGACAGCCAGGGCTACACAGAGAAACCTTGTCTCAAAAAAACAAACAAGCAAAAATATTATAAAGTTAGAAGAAAGACTTTTCAAAGTTTTGACTCTAAGAATACTGTTTAACATTTAAATAACTACGCATATTATACTTGATTTAAGCACTTTCATCAAATCACCCCTGCCCTAAACCTATATCCCAGGGCTCCCCAGTACTTACAGGACTGAGTACACATGTGTTAACCATATCTTTAGGATATTTCACTGTGATCCCACCCTTCCAGTCAAATCTCCCTGACAGTGGTGTGGTATGCCCTTTAGGATAGGCATTGTTTCCTGAGATTTATTGGGTTAAATCTGAAGACAAAGGACCTAACCGTAGGAGTGTCAGTGAGAGGCTGGAGAATGTGGGGTACCAGAAACTCTACTCAAAACCTGGGAGGGGCACCACAGAAGTGGGTTCAAACATGATTGTAGTGTATGGAACAAGAAGCAAACACTGCACCTACTTAGAAAAGAAGTGTAACTTGCCAGGCGGAGTGATACACACTTTTAATTCCAGCTCTCGGGAGGCAGAGGCAGGCAGATCTCTGTGAGTTCAAGGCCAATCTGGTCTACAGAGCGAGTTCCAGGACAGGCTCCAAAGCTACACAGAGAAACCCTGTTTCGGGAAAAAAAAAGTGTAACTTGAAAGAAGGGAACCCCAAGGAGTGAGACATGGACAACCCATGCGAACCAGCTAATGTCTAGCCATGACTCTTGAGAACATAGGAGATGGTTCTGTCTCTGACACTGGCAAATGCTGACATCATCAATAGCTGCCTTTGCTAGTTGGTGATCACACAACAGTCTACCAGGATAGTTTCCCTTGGCATAGGCTCCAGCTAGCCAGGAACTGCTCATTATGGCTTCTCTGCAGGCCAAGGGCTTGGGGTGTGCATATGTAATAATCTGCCCTGAGAGTTTGGGTGATGTGAGGTCACTCCCCAGAAACAAAGTGACCCATCCCAATGATGACAGTCCAGTTCTGAGCATGAGGAAGTGACCAGCACACCCACCTCTTTGGAGGTTCCCTGGACGGCTCAGTTTCCAGTGCTCAATTACACAACAGCTGTAATCTCCTTTGCCAGGCTGAGGCACAAGGTTTGAGAGTCTGAGGCCAGCCTGGACTACATAGCAATACCCTGTCTAAAAAATCATGGACTAGAGACAGCTCAGTGGGTAAGAGCACGGGCTGCTCTCACAGAGGGCACACACTGGGTTCCCAGAACCTGAACGACAGGCAGCTCACAGCCATCTGTAACTCCAGTTCCAGAGGATCCAATGTCCTCTTCTGGCCTCCTCAGTAACCAGGCATGCACATTGGTGCACAGACATACATGCAGGCAAACACTCATACACATAAGATAAAAATAATAAAATCTAAAAAAAATTTTTTTTGGTTTGGTATTAGGACAGAGCTACCAATAATTTCTGAAAATGCCCTAAACATATTTCTGCCATTTCTTATTAGAAATTTATTTGAATCAATATTCTCAGCATTACTGATTACAAAATCAAAATATTGATCCACTCTGAAAAATGTTGAAGTTCTCTGTGTTTTGCAGTATCAAATAGTCAGCCAAGATTTAATTCTTTACATAAAAAAGATACACAGCTATTTCATTAGTATGCAAATTAGTTTTTTGTCTTGAATAAATGTTAAAATTATTTATATTTATATACACACACAAAAGAAGCTATAAAATATATTTCTTTAGGAAGTATTATTTATAAATGTTTGATCTGTATGCCTGTGTACACCTATATACATGGAGTCATGTAAAACTTTCACAGGAAAAAAAGGGTCGTGAGTTTGGAAAAAGCCTCACTCTGGACAGATTTCCAGAGGGCATGGGTCACTTCTTACCTTGGGGACCTAAAAAATATCTGCTACATTGGACTTGGCAAAAAGCACCTTGGCTTGCCCACACTATCTATTCCAGTACTTTGACCTCTGCAAAGTTGTTTCCTAATGTGTAAAATGGGAATAAGACTGGTAAGTTGCTTAGAAGACAGAGCAGGAGTAATACACTTGAGGACCACCGTTCCAAGGGCGTTAAACCCTGGCAAATGCTAGTTACTGCTATTACTACTCCCTGGCATGATCTTTCCAGCTCTGTGTGACCCCTTTCCTTCAACCTTGTCCATGAATGTCACCCTTTTTGAAAACTACTGCACTGCTGACTCATTGTCAATTTCTTTTTTCTTTCTTTCCTTTTTTCTTTCTCTCAAGAAAGGGTCTCACTGCACAGCCCTGGCTGTCCTGGAACTCATCATGCTGACAAAGGTGGTCTCCAACTCACAGAGGTCTACCTGCTGCTGTCTCCTGAGTGCTGAGATTGAAGGCATGCACTTTTATTCTTGTGTGTCAAATTGCACTTTAAATTCACATTCTAATTTGTACATCTGTTTCTCCAATTTTTAAACTCTGGGGACTAGAATATATCTTTGGCTTTATGGTAGGCAGAATTCTAAGACCCCCACCCCCTCAGATAGGGCATCAAGTGACTGTGAAGAGATTTGGTCCCACCTCTAGGCTATGTTAGAAGGCACAGTTAACTGATGGCTAAGGGGCCTTCCCTGGTGGGCTTGATTTAATCACATGAAGTCATTAAGAGCCCAGAGTTTCACAGGGAGATTGAGGTGGGCATAAAGTATAGTTACATAGGAGAAACAGGTCCTGGTGTCCTGTTGTGGAAAAGGGTCACTTTTTGATGACAGAGCATACATTTCAAAAAGCTGGAAGGATCTTGAATTTTTTCTTTATAAAGAAGTGATAACTTTTTAAAGAGTCCAATATTTACCTGATATGAACACCACAGTGTGTAATATGTATCCAAAGCCTGAAAAATGGGGCCTGGAGAGATGGCTCAATGGATAAAGCACTGGCCAAGCAGGAGTGAGGACCTAAGTTCAGATCCCCAGAACCCATATAACACCAAGTGTGGTATAGTGTGTGCAGCATGGTGAAGAGTCCTGTTAGCCCATGGCCAGCTAGCCTGGGAGACACTGCATGGAAGAGCAGAGATTCTGTGTCAAGCAAGGACTGATTCCCAGCCTTGTTCAGATTGCCGTACCTGCAATGTGGCACATGTATGTCTGCGCTCACATACACATACATGCACACATATCATAGAACACACAAAAATGATTTTTAAAAAATCTTAAAAATATACATTTGAAAAAGGGAGTAAACAAAATCCCGATTACAACATAAACGAGCTGAGTGTTTACTGCAGAGGAAGAGAGAATGAAAGCAAGGGATGATGCCCTTGCCTTCATGGTAGAGGGGGCTTCAGGGGCGGGGCTGCAAGAGGGGGGCTGCAGGAGGCTTTTAGGACCACAGAGTAGTACCCTCCTACTGACAACAGGGAGGGAGAGGGCTTCAGTAGACAGCAAGGTAGCAGTTTCTGCCAGTACAAGCTGAAAGAAATGGAAGATGCCCTGAGCTCAGGGACGCTGACACTGCAGCTCTGTGTCACCTCAGTCTGCCCTACTGTGCATCCTAGGTGGGCCTTGTCTGAAGTCTGTTTGCAACCGTTTTTTGTCGTGTACCAAAAGCCAAAGATCAGTACATACTCCTTCCAGTGCCTTTTTTGTCTTTTGAGACAGGGATTTACTCTGTAGCCCATGCTGGCCCAGCCTCAGCCTCCCTCATGCTGGGAGTACACAGATGCATGAGCACAAAGGGCTGTCCAGCACCTCCTTAACAAGCTGTGCCACGTGAAATGACTTTATGTGACCACCAGTGAAGTCCCACCGTTACCTGGCCTCTGCCTAGTATCAACTGCCAAGCTTCTTTGCCGAAAGATTCCTTGAATAATGTCTGTTGCACTCACTTTGCGTTTCAATTGTGGGAACACATCGCTCCAAGAGCAGTGTCTTTATAAACCTGGAGAAGAGTTATTTAAAGCAGAAACGCACCTAGATACACACTGTATATATCCAGGGGCTACATTTCAACTTCAAGGCACTAAAACCAGTTAGTGGGATGTTTTACAAACTAATCATCAGAAGAATTTCTTGGCAAAAATCTCTTTGCATTATTTTCCATCACAAGAAGCACGTAGCTAATTTATTTCCATGTCAGTGCAGAAAAAGGTCCTTAGAAACAGTGCTTTCCTGGTTCCCTTTCTTTCTTTCCTTTTTTTTTTTTAAACAAACAAACAAACAAACAAACAAAAAGCTAAGGAACTGGAGGGATGACTCAGCAGTTAAGAAAGAGCACTGGCTGCTCTTGCAGGGAGGCAGGTTCAGTTCCCAGTTACCCACATGGAGGCTCACAGCCATCTGTAACTCCAGTCCTAGGAGATCTGAGATTCTTGGACCCTGCATGTATAAGTGCACAAACATACATTCAGGCAAAACACCCCTACCATAAAAATAAATTTAAAAAGTTGGATGCCAATTGTGTTGGTACACATCTTTAATCCCAGGTCTCTAGAAGCAGAGGCAGGCAGATCTCTGAGTTTGAAGCCGGCCTCATTTACATAGTGATCTTCCAGGCAGCCAGGGCTGTAGAGAGAGAGAGATCCTGTTTAAAAGAAAAAAAAAAAAAAAGCCAGGCGGTCCGGAGGCAGAGGCAGGAGGATCTCTGTGAGTTCCAGGCCAGCCTGGTCTACAAGAGCTAGTTCCAGGACAGCCTCCAAAGCCACAGAGAAATCTTGTTTCGAAAAAACAAAAAAACAACAAACAAACAAACAAAAAAGTTTGACAAATGCTTTGTTTTACACACTCACTCTCAGAGATGTACACTGTGTATTATTACATTGAAACCCCTAGAGCTCATGATATGACTCCCTTTTTTTAAAATTAAAATCTTTTTCCCACGGGAGAGCTTGAACAAGTCCCCCACTACCACAAATTATGCAGTCAAGTTTCCCAAATTGGGGAAACGGGCAGAGTCAGCACATCTGGTTCCATGTCAGTTTGCATGGAAGCCATGTCCTGGGACACCACCTTCAGGATCATGGCCCCTCCCCCAACAGGTAAGGACTCTCTTTGTTTCTTTAATGAAGCATTTCCCAAATACATTTATCACAGATCCTTTTCTTGGAGAAACAACCTTTGACATCTTGCCAGAGTACCATTTAGGAAACGCTGGCCTAGACAAACTCTTTTCTGCTCCCTAGTAAGTACTGACTCAAGATGCTAGCAGGGAAAGGAAAACTTCAGAAAGCATGTTACTCAAGCAAGACACCTCAGAGCTGAAGACACACTTCTATCTTCTGTTATCGGCTGCACTAACTTTTTGTTCAGTTTCTAAACAAGTTAATAAAACAAAAAACAAAAACAAAAACTGAAAAGGGGATTTTTCAGCTGTATTAATTTTACAAAATACCCATGCAACAAAATGAATTATCCCAGGCATGTTCTAGCTTTAGCCATTGCATACATCTATTTGTGTATTTCAATACATACATACATACATTCATACATACATACATACATACAAACAAGTGCCTTTGTCAGCTTCGTCAGTGCTTAACAAATGAATCCAGAAAATACTTAAGGCTGACAAGAGCACACATGCTCAAACTCTCGCACATACACACACCGCAGTGATGAGGACTGAAGCACTGTACCACTGAGTTACATCCTTGGTTCCTGATGAAGTTTATGAGGAAAAATAACTTTAGCCCATATTAAGAAGGGCGAGAGAGCCAGGTGGTGGTGACACATGCCTTTAATTCCAACACTCAGGAGGCAGAGACTGGCGGATCTTTCTGAGTTAGATCAGCCTGGTCTCCAGTGAGTTCTAAGATAACCAGAGCTACACAGAAAAACCCTCTCTCAACCCTTCCACCAAAGACAGGTAAGAGAGCCAGGTGTTGTGACCCACTTATAATCCCTGCACTCAGGAGACAGGGGCAAGTGGTCTACATAGAGAGACCGTGTCTAAAAATAAATAAATAAATGTAGGAGAGTGAGAATATCATATTAGGTTAGAACTTCTGTTCCTTTAAATTTATAAACTCTCAAAGGAAGCCCATGTATACAAAATGTGAAAACAAAATACTTTTTTTTTTTAATTGAAGTTGAATTGTAATATTCTTCCAGAAAGGAAAGGTAAATGTTGCATCCTATCCAAATCCCTGCCTTAGTTCTGTGGGTCTCAGAGAATGTCCTGGAAGATGTTTGATGGAGGGAGACTGTGGAGGGACCATGAAATCTGCATTTTTGAGACACTCCCAGCTTCTGGCCCAGGAAGGTTCTTCTGAGGGCCATTGAGCTTCTCCTACAGAGTCCCTGAAGAGTCTCCCTCATCAGGTAGGGTACCCCATGCAGTTTCTGTGAGCACCAATCCCTGGAGACATTTCTGAAGTTCAAATGGCTAAGATTTGCCATTTTGTTGTAGGTTTATCCTTGTTTGGTGTTTCTGTGTCTCAAATCCTGTGTGGTTCTCTATAAGGGGCCTGATGATGCTGGAGACCCCTCATCCCAGCTACTCAGAGGCTGAGGGAGGAGGATGACAAGTTCAAGGCCTGACTGGGCAATTTATCAAAGACGCAAAGTCTCAAATTTATCAAAGTCTCAAAATAAAAAGGGAAAAGGGGACTGGGGCAGTGATGAAGAGACTTCTCCCCTAGTGTGTACAAAGCCCTAGATTCAGTCTCTATGAGTGAGGGAGAGAGGGAAAGGGGAAGGGGTAGTGTGAGAAGGGGAGGGGAGGGGAGAGGGGGATGGGGGAGGGGAGACTGAGACCAAGAGACTTTGGGAGAAAGGTTTGTGTGTGTGGGGAAACCAAGACTGAGAGACTTCTGGGAGAAAGGCTGAGGACACAGACATGACTGGTTGGTAGCTCCAGCAGAACAGAGGGGAAAAAGCTGGAAGCTGTAACTACACTCTGACGGTCACTCTGGAGTCCTTAAAGCCATATGATAAACACAGTTGGCTGAGTGGACAGTTTGGGTGAGAGGAAGCCCCAGGTTCACTTCTCTCATGTACCTTCTTCGTCTACTCTCTTCTTTTCTTCTTTTCTCCCCTGCCTCACCTTTCTCCTTTTTTTTTTTTTTTTTTTTTAATTTTGTTTGTTTGTTTGTTTCGTACAAGAGCTCTCTTTCTCAGCCCAGGCTGGGCTCAAACTCATGATCCTCCTGCCTCCATATCACTATGCTGGGATCCAATACTCCATTTAGACTAAACATGAAGGTGGCCTGTAGAGTGGTCTTCTGAAGTCAGACGGTTCAAGTCCTGGCCCAGTCACTTACTGGCGAAAGGACTATGAGAGTAATTTAATGATCCTAACATCCTCTCAGGAGCACAAGGCTGACCAGAAGCCACGGATTGCCTTGGCTACCCCCATGTCAAAAGAGCATCATACTGCATGATGTCTGCTTGGGGAAAGATGAAAACTCCAAATCTGAAGTACAGCTGCTTCCGGGCACTGAGCACCTTCACACCAGGGTGAAGTTGAAAAACCGTTAGCTGAACCATACTAAGACTGAATCCAGCTGTGGCATCAAAGGTCAGATCTTCGACAGGTTGTAGTGTGCAGGGCTAAGATAGGACATCGTGCTACCAGGCAGATGGAGATGATGCCTCTTTGCACCACACTTTGATTCCACACTTTCTGAAATTGTTCTTTTCATCAGGTGCTGCCAAACAGACTCTTGGCTTTTTTGACTTTTTTTTTTTTTTTTTTTTTTTCACACACAAAGGAAAATGTAGGCAGAGTCACTGTATTCTTCAGCTGTTCTTATAGGCAAAGTCCCTTCCTTCTGCATTGCTTATGTGACTCAGAGCTCCTGCTGATTCACCCTTTGTGTCACTCAGGGCATCTGTGATGCAGCATTTCTTGAGAATATCCTGAAGTCCCTAAGCTTCTTGGAGCTGGGCCCTTTCCTTGCTCATTTTTCGGCTCCTGCATAATACTGCTGCCAAACGTGTGGCTGTCCATTGTTCTCCCTAGCTTTTCTTCCATAAGCACCGGCTTCTCAGGGGTTAAGAGACTAACCCAGGAGCTGGAGAGGTCAAGAGCACATAATGCTCTCCCAGAGGACCCGTGGTCAGTCCCCAGCATCCAAGTCTGGTGAATCACAACCGCCTGTAACCCCAGCTCTTGGGGATCTAATGTCCTCTTCTGGACTCTGTAGCCCCTGCACACTCTGTGGTCCCTGCACATGTGCGCATGTGCGCAAACACACACACACACACACACACACACACACACACACACACTAAAGATAAAGGATGCAATGTATTCTTCTTTCTGTTATTTTATTTCAAGCAATTAACATGCAGTGTCTGAGTCTGGACACTGGTGTCTCTGACGGTCACAAGCCTGAGAGTGAAGACACCTGTGGCCTGGTCAACAGGTTGTGAGACATGTCTTTGATTACAAGCTGTGCTCTGAATTGTAATTTATCCATTTAAAGTGCAAACTTGAGGATTCAGTACACTCAGAGTCCACTGACAAATCAATCTGTGCACATCATCATCCTGAAACCTATGAGCAGTTGGTACCCATTCCTCCCCTCCCAGCCCCTAGCAACCATTGATCCACTTTCTATCTCTACAGCTATGTCTGTTCTGGATATTTCTTGTAAATGGAACCCTAGCATGTGATCTTTTGTGACTGGTTTCTTTTACTTAGCATCATGCTTTCAAGGCTCATGCTTGTTGCTGAATATATAGCATTTGTATAATTTTCTCATTTAAAATTCTTTTTAGACTTAATTTTTTTTGTATGTGTATGGCTGTTTTTCCTGTATGTATGTATGTGCCCTCCATGCATAGAGTACGAGAAGGCCTGAAGAGGGAATCGGAGTCCCTGGAACTAGAGTTACAGGCTATTGTGAGCCACCAGGTGGGTGCTGGGAAGCAAACCCAGGTCCTCTGCAAGAGCAGCAAGTGCTCTTAACCACTGAGCCATCCTGAAGCCCCTGTATCCTTCTCTTGCTTAATACTTTCATTTTATTTTATTTAGCCACTCATTGTAGGGAGTTAGTGAGGTCCTAAGTGAGTGTGTTTTATGGCATGGGCACAGCCAGGTCAAGGACCCCAAAGCCTCAGACCCATGGGAGTAGCAAAACCCTCCCTGGGTGAGACTCAGATGGATGGCAAAGCCTTCTTTGGGTCTGAGTGGGAGTGTTGACAGAGTCAAAAAATGTCCACCACTGTCTCCTCCCTCCCTCGTATCTGGCCTGAAGACTGCTCCCCCACAGAACTGCTCCTACCTCGATTAGCTAAACCCGCCTCCTTGTTCAGCTGTGTATAATAACTACACCAGTTTACCTGTATGTAATCACACAGCCTTCCCTCAGCTGAACGCAGTAATCCTGCCTCCTTGCTCAACTGCATATAATAAACACCCTGTGCTTCCAGGGGTTTGTGGCTACTCCATTTGAGCAAGCACAGGCCACCTCATTCCAGCCTTTCTGTCTGCGCATCTGTCCTTTCTTCATTCCCTCACTGCCCCCATTCAGGGTTCCTGGACCCTAGATGTGCAAAGATGTGGCAATTTATCACTTAATGTACACTCAGAGTGGTTATGAGTTGTGGCAGTACACATGTGTCCATGTACAGTTCTGTGATGATGCATTGTTTTTGATCTAATAAAGCCACTGAAGATCAGAATGCAAAGTTAGATATAGCCATAGAAGCTGGGCAGTGGTGGTAGACTCCTTTAATCCCAGGACTCAGGAGATGGAGGCAGATGGATCTCTGTGAGTTCAAGGCTACCCAGGGCTCCATGAGAGTGAATCAGTCTAAAAAAGAAACAGAGATCACACCTTTAAACCCAGCACCAGAGAGGTATATAAGATAGGAGCAGGGTATTCAGTATTCAGTCTTGGGCAATTAGTCTCTGGGGATTTGTGAAGACAGGATCACCCTTTTAGTCTGAGGTAGAGGTTAGAGCTAGTGGCTGGCTGTTTTGCTTTTCTGATCTTCAGCTTGAACCCCAATATCTGTTTCTGGGTTTATATTATTCGTACTACACAGTTCTCCATGCAGCTGTGTTTTAACTGGGTATGTGTCCAGGAGTGACTGTGCTGGACCAACCGTTGGAGGAATAGTCACTCCAAGCTACAGAGAAGTGGCACCAACTACCAGCAGCATATGCAGGTTCCAGTTTCCTCACACCTTGCCCATTGGCTGTAATTTTTATCCTTCTGTCAGTGGGGTGAACAGGGGGTCTTGCTGTGTCTTAGGCTGGCTTGAAATCTATTATGCCATCTAGGTTGGCATCAATTTGAGATTCCTCTGCCTCAGCTTTGCATCACTGGGATTACACACGTGCACCACCATGCCTGCATCCTGTCTTTCTATTCTATTGATCCAAGTGGGTGAGAATCAGTAGCTGTTTAATTTTTTTCATTGCTTTTACTTTTTTTAAAGTACTCCCCCTCCTTAACTCCACCCCCACCCCTCACCCCCGAATTTTTGATCTTTACAAGATCTTTCAGTGTTCCTCCAGGAAGCAAGCATCAAGAATAATTTGCTGGCTTGCTCAAGACAGCTCGGTTAGCCACAGAATGTCAATGAGAATATAATCAGGATTTTGATTCTGGGAGCACTGCCCTTGCACTACCTTGCTATTCCAACTCCAGAGTGGGCAGGTCAAGGGTCACAGTGAATTGAAGGGAAGGTGGTGCAGGACTGCTGCTGGACACACAACTGCAGCACCGTTTCAGGCACCTTGACCTTGCTACTTTCCTCTCAAGACAGGAATACCTCATGGGAAATGCTGGCCTGCAGCAGAATAGTAATATGCTGAAACCCCAGTTAGAGGTAGGGAGGGCCAGAGGTGAGGAAAGAGGAGGAGGGAAGGAGAAAAAGGATGATGGAAAGAAAGCGAAAGAGAGGAAGAGGAGCCTACAGCTTGGAGAGGACATCATTGTCTGCAGCTTTACCTGCATTGTCTATAGAAAAAGGCTGCACCATCAGGGTCAGGCTCTTGGAACACCAAGGAAGAATAACTTCCGAGCTCTTGCCTCTTCCAATGGGTGTGGTAGAGTCAGGCTTGTTTTGTAAAACAGACTCATTGATTGCTTTCCATGCTTATGAACTAGGGGAACCGAAGAATTCCTGCTCATGCGTCCATTTTCTATTCATGAATTATCTCCTTTCTGTGCATAGTACAAATCAATATTTTATGAAATAATCTCACTGGAGATTAAGCTCACAGCATTATTCGGTCAGAGAGTCTTCGTGTTCATCAGCCCAGCTGAGTGAGGCCTAAAGCTGCTACACGAAGCTCTCCTGCCTCAATTGGAAAGGCAACTTTGAATTGCTAGACTGTGAAACCTTTCTAAGCATTACAGAGTAAAGTAGGTCAGTGTTTTAGCCTATTTTTCCTTCCTATCATAAAACACCCACGGCTGGGTAACTTTGTAAACAAATGAGGTTCACTTAGCGTTGGAGGTAAAAGAGTTCACATGTAGAGATGCTTTCTCTCTTGCTGTCGGAGTCTGGAAGAGCTCAGGGTATCACATGGCAACAGGCAGTCATGTGGTGTGTGTGTGTGTGTGGTGTGTGGTGTGTGTGTGTGTGTGTGATAGAGAGAGAGAGAGAGAGAGAGAGAGAGAGTGAGAGAGAGAGAGAGAGAGAGAGAGAGGGAGACTGCTCTTACTACCACTTCTGAAGCCACAAGGATTTGTTCACCATCCACTTTGATGACTTTATTAGTCCTAATCCTTCCCAAAGGCCGGACCTCTGAATGCTGGAGTTGGGTTAAGTTTTTCACCCACTTAATACCTTACAGTGGGAATTAAATTTCAGAACATGGAGCCTTGGGGGATAGATATAAAACCACATCCCAACCACAGCTATCAGCGTGTGGCAAAGCTCTCGAAGCCTGATACTCATTTCGGGATATTTCCAAAAGACACTCTCACTCTGGGTGAGGCAGCATGGAGTAGGCTCTCCATGCACACTGGAAAAGCACAGGAACTGTCACTATTCTCCTCCTACCCAGAGGCTCCTGACCTCTCTGACCCCAAAACCCACGGCCCATCACTGCACCTTGCCTTCCTGATTGTTGTTATTTCCCTTACCATTTTAAGGAATACTTGGAAGATCTAGAAGTACCCGACACTGTTTTGTGTCAGCATCTCAGATCACAATTGGCTGCTCATTTCTGGCTGTAGTGTTTGCAAAATGACCTGTCTATGTTCTTTGATGGGACAGAGAGCTGGCCTCTCTAATCTGTAGCCTGCACTGCTACAGGCTCAGGTTGGATGCTCAAGGGTCCTCACTGGTTGCAGGGACCAGTGTGGATCAGCCACCTTCTTCCTTTCCAGGGAGATAGGGGAGGAAGTTGGGAAGTGAGCCAAGAAAGGAAGCTAGCCTTTGGGGAGGCAGCTGCTGGACCCAGGACTTGGGTCTCTTGGTTTCCATTTTCTAGAAATAACGTTCCATTCTAAGAGGATTTTCAGTTGTTGTTTTCCCCAGAGAGAGGAAGGCATGACCAGAGGTGAAGCCATGGCCAGAGCCCTTAACCTCTCATCTTGCCCTTTAGCCAGCAAGGAAGGAATCCTGTTTCCTCTAGTGAAAGGCTGTGTGGTTCTGTCCCCCCACCCCACCCCCTCAGCAGTGTAGCTAGAGGCCAGGGAGGGAGTGCCACCTCAGGGATCTGCTGGCTGCAGGACATGGGATGAGAGTGAGCATGACTATTTATGTACCTGACCCCTCCCCAGAGTCAGGGTCACCTAGCCATCTGGGCCAATCTGAACTGCAGATGGAATAAAAGGCTCTGTGACATACAAGTGATGGGAGAGGAGCCAGGCTGCGCTAACTTTAATTCAGCTGGGACCCTTCTCCTCCCCTCCTCCACTTTAAAGCTTTGAGACTCCAGTTTGGCTGGAACTGGATGTTAAATCCAAGTTAGTCTCAAACTTTTATCCTGACCGGGTGGGGTTTTTAACAGCCATTATGTAGACTCACAGCAAGAAAGTATGGTATCTTCTTCCTACTCTGTTAAAGAATTCAGATCCAAGAACCCGCATTCTCGAGGTCATATAGTCAGGTTTACAGTCAAATGTGTCTATCTTTGAAATTGAGTTCCTCACCCCCAGCAACGGATGCCTTCTGCAGACTCCAAAGCTGCCCACTCCTCCCGCACCACTTCACACACCGATGACAACTGAAAAGTAAGCCAGGTGCTCATGACTTTTAGATTTTATTTAACGCTGAGAACATCCACTGAAAGTCATCACTGGTGGGTTCCAGAGCTCTGATCACCTTACACTGGAACAGGCAACACTTGGCAGAGGTGCATCCTTATGTGATCTCAAAACGGGGTCCCACGCTGGCAGCTTAGTGGGCCGCAGTGCAGGGATATGTTCTGACTCACTCCTCCATCACCAGCAATACACCAAGTGATGGTCTTCCTGCAGATGGTCGTGAGGCGGGTGATGTTGGACCGCTGGCCGCCAGCTAACCAGTTAAAGCAGAGGGACAGCAGCAAGGAAAATTCTACCACATAATTAGGAACACAGCAAGGCACTCCCATCCCACGGCTTCCCTGCTTAGGAATGTACAGAAGATAAATATTGAGGTGTGGGAGGGAGAAACCATATTTACCCTCCAAAGGACTAGTCTGTGACGTTTCCTTCTTTTTAACTGCATTGCATTTGTGAGGTTATGCTGGTTGCTGTGGGCTAATCAGAACTCACTTGTGAAGTTACACACACATTCCTCTACCTAAAAAAGGGAAAACAGTGGGGCTGATGAGATAGCTCAGTGAGTAAAAGCTCTTGCTGGGAAAGCCTGACCTAAGTTCAATCTTCAAGACCCATGTAAATATATTACGAAGGACCTGCCTATGTAAAGGTGGAAGGAGATAACTGACTCCGGAAAGTTGTCCCTGACCTCCACAAAAGACTCTATACACATTTTTTGTGTTAATCATACACAAAAAATATGGGTTATCACACACAAACACACACACACACACACACACACACACACACTTAGAAGATTTTTTTTAAAGTGGGAACAGTGAACTGTAAAGAATACACATTTGCATGACAAATTTCCCATGGGCAAAGCTAATACATTTAAAATTTCGTTGTGAAAGGATGGGGTGTGTGGCAAGATGGCTCAGTGGTTAAGAGTGCTGGCTTCTCTTACAGAGGACCTAGTTTCAATTCCTAGCATTTACAAGGAGACTCACAACTGTCTATAATTCCAGTTCCAGGGGATCTGATACCCTCTTCTGGCCTCTGTGGGCACTGCATATGTGGTTCATTAGACCTATATGCAGGCAAACACTCATGAAATAAAAATAAATCTTTTTAAAGATGTTGCTGATCATATAGCATTGTTATACACCATGCAAGTATACTCAGATTTTTGGATACATCTAAGGCCTAAGGATGGTCACAGTGATTGTCTCAAGAAAGCAGTTTTCTTAGGGTTTCTATTGCCATGATAGAAAACAAAACAACAACAAAAGTAACTTGGCAAAGAAAGGGTTGATCTTAGCTTACAGTTTCATGTCACATTCCATCATCAAGGGAAGTCAAGGAGCTCAAAAGGCAGGAACTGAGGCATGGAGGAAGCTGCTCACTGGTTTGCTCCCCATGGCTTGCTCAGCTGTTGTGGGATATTTGTACACTGTGTGGAGATGCTGTGATTGCTTTAATAAGGAGCTGAATGGCCATTAGCTAGGCAGGAGGTATAGACAGGACTTCTGGGCAGAGAGAGAGAGAGGAAGTAGGAGATGAATCTAAGCCTGAGAGAGACGCCATGGAGATGCAGGAGTTGAACACAGAGAATGGGAGCGAGGTAAAGGCCACGTGCTAGAAGGTAGACTAATAAAAATATGGGTTAATTTAAGTTATAAGAGTTAGGGGGAGCCAAGCGGTGGTGGTGCATGCCTTTAATCTCAGCACTCAGATTTTAAAAAAAAAAAAGAGTTAGGGAGACAAGCCTAAGCTAAGGTAGTGCTTTCATAATTAATAACAGGTCTTTGTGTCATTATTTGGGAGCTGGCTGGTGGGACAGAAAAAGAATCGTTACACTCAGGCTGCTTTTTTTTTTTTTTTCAAGACAGGGTTTCTCTGTATTGTTTTGGAGGCTGTCCTGGAACTAGCTCTTGTAGACCAGGTTGGCCTTGAACTCACAGAGATCCACCTGCTCCTGCCTCCCAAGTGCTGGGATTAAAGGTGTGCGCTACCAACGTCTGCTTTTTTTTTAATATATTACGAAGGACCTGCCTATGGATGACTCGTCCCACAGTGGACTGGACCCTCCCACATCAATTGTCAATAAAGAAAATGCCCTATAGGCCAACCTGGTGGAGCATTTTCTCAATGAAGTTTCCCCTCCAAAATGACTCCAGCATGTGTCAGTTGACATAAAACTAGACAGCTCATTAGGGGTTTTATGTTTGTCTTATACAAAACCAAAATGGTTTATATGGAAAATGCATAGCTTTTATAAACTCAGGGAGATCCACTATAGCATTTCCTGCTCTGGCTATTTTCTTATCAGTAGTAATTATATTTCCATTTGCTTAGGTTTCTACATGCTATGCATCAGCAGGTCCTCTGGAAGAATCTTCACATGGCACTGGGGCCACCTCCCAGAAGCTCCCTGTTGTTCCTGCTCCACCAAATACAGACCGTGGAGCCTCTTACCATCATTTTCTGTTTTCTAGGCTCTCTGAACACCTCCTAGTTTGGTGATGTATCTTCAAGAAACGTCCTCAGAAATGGTGGTCAACATTTTGCTGTCTCTTACCAAACACCCTTATTTTACTGGTCCCCTGGTAGGTAAGGTATAACTCTCCAAGCTCCCAAAAGTTACAGGCATGTATCTCACATCCTTTGATTTCCATTATCACCTTCACAAGGTTCCAAGTCATCCATCCACTCACTCACTCATTCTCTCTCTTCTTCCCGTCTTTCTCTTTATTCTACCATGATGCCTGTGTCCAGCTGCCCTATCCAGCTGCACCCAAAGCTTTTAGAGTCTCTTTTGTAACTGGCTCTAAATTTTACCATCATGTGTTGAACTTTAGAAAGTGTAAGGTTTTTATTGAAAAAGCACATGCTTGCAGAAGAGAGCATAGGTCATAAACAGCAGCTTGATGGATTTTTTTTTTTTTTTTTTTTACAAAAACAAGCAATTGGATCCTGTAATAGAATACTACCAAGAGCCTGCAGCAGCCACAACACACCCCTAGTAGTAACTACTGTCACTCATCTCTAGCATTATGCACTTGCTGGTCTGCTTTTGAATTTTTGTAGACATGGAATCATCAACATTTTTTTGTTCCTGTCTCTCATATCCCATTAAGACTGTCAGATTCACCCAGGGCACAGCAATTCATCCATTCCTGATCCATTATGTGAATATGCTACAATTAATTTGCCCAATTTTAATGTTGATGGCCTTTTGACTGCAGTGGGCTTTAGCTGTTACAGGCAGGGCTGTACAAATGTGTTTGCACCTGGGTTTTGAATAAATGTATGCACTTCTGCTGGGTGTGGGAGCCCTTTCTCTCCTCAGTATTTCAGTGGTGAGAGAGCCCTTTGATTATTTTTATAACTCATGTTGGAGACTTGACCCAAGGCCCCAAGGTCGTTAACTGGCTCCCCTACTGAATTACACCTCCATCCTCCCAGCCCCTCAGTGGACACTTTTGCCATGATTTTCTTCTTCTTCTCTTCCTTTCCCTTCCCCTCCCTGTCCCTTTCCTATCCCTGGGACCTTGTGCATGCCTAGGGAAGCACTCTCACACAGTTACATCCCTCAGCAGACATTTCTAACCTCAACATTTACTTTTTAAACTTCTGGAAGTGTTTCTTTGATAATTCTTCTTAAAATTTATTTTTCTTTCTGCAATTCTGTTACTCTACATTGAGTACATAGCATCTCTCTATTTAAAAAATATTTATCTGGGTAGTGGTGGTGCACGCCTTGAATCCCAGCACTTGAGAGGCAGAGGCAGGTGGATCTCTGAGTTTGACGCCAGCCTGATCTACAGAACAAGTTCCAGGACAGCCAGGGCTTTACAAAGAAACCCTGTCTCAAAAAAACAAAAAACAAAAAACAAAAAAAAAAACAAAAACAAAAACAAAAAAATTATTTTATGTGCATATTTTACTTGTATGTTTACATGTGCACCATGTGCATACATGATGCCTGTGGAGGCCAGAGGAGGGATTCAGATCTTCTGCAACTGGAGTTACACGTGGTTTGTGGGGTTTGGAACCTAACCCAGGTACTCTGCAAGAGCAGCAAGTCCTCTTGACTACGGTGACATCTCTCTATCCACCTATTCATTCTTTTATGTTTTTTCTTTGAGAACATTTCCACTTCTTCCAATCCTTCTGTTGGAGTTTTTTGTTGACTCTATTTATAATTTACAGAGAGTTCAAACACGCCTCACCTTTGACTAGCCCCCCTCTGCCTTATATTGTCTCACAGGTGCAACGTCTTCATGTCATAATTTTAAAAAACGTTTCCCATGCTCTCTGCAACGCCTTAGTTTCCTTCCCTTCTCTCCTAGTTGTATTGTTTTCTGTTCTGTCTGGGCCCCTGGCCACCACACACAGAGATCCTTGGCTGACTCATAATGGTGAGGAGTGAGGTGTTTGTCTTTGTCTGTTTTCTTTTGCTGCAGCTGAATGTCACAGCCCAGGTACCTTACTTTGTGTGTAGTTCTGGAGCTGCAAGATCCATCATCAGAGTGACAGCATCTGGTGAGGACCCAACACCATAGTAAGGGGTGTGAGGGCTCACACGTGTCATCCTGGGAAAACTGAAGCAGGAGGACCACAAGCTCCAAAGAGATGCCCTGTCTCAAAGAAAACACCAAAACTAGGCCACAGGACATCTCATGGTGAGAGCGAGCAACCACATTCACTCAGCCACTAATCTCGGCAAAGAGCTGCGTCTTCATCAAATCCTGGTCACCTTGGAGAGGCCTCATTTCCAAGTACCTTTTACAGGATTTGGGAGTTCTGTTCCCAACACTTGTATGCCTGGGGATGCTATAGAAGTGTTCAAAGTGTTGACTGAGCATACTGGGAAATGCCATCTCTGATGGTGAGGCTAAGCACCAGCCACTCTCCTGGGACTAGATGGCTGTATTAACACATTTTCTCCTTGGAGAATCAGTCAGCACCTCCAGAAAGGAATCCTCTTACCTGGGCCCTAAATGGGAAGCCATAAAAGATAAAAACTGCACTGTCCTGGTTGGCAGTCTTGAGTCACATGTGGCCTTCTGAATGACAACTAAAAAGTTAACACCCCAGTCCCACAGGCCACATTGCAAATGGCAGCTTGGCCACCTGGTGTTGAACATTGCAGATACAAAACATTTCTTCAGCCAGGCAGTAGTGGCGCATGCCTTTAATCCCAGCACTGGAGAGGCAGAAGCAGGCAGATCTCTGTGAGTTTGAGACTAGCCCGGTCTACAAGAGCTAGCTCCAGGACAGCTCCACTAGTGCGCGAGTACACACACACACACACACACACACACACACACACACACACACACACACACGCACGCTCAAGCGTTCATGTATACTCGAATCCACACAGGTGCATGCGGAGGCCAGCAGTCAATTTCCAATGCTGTTTCCCATGAGCCACCTACAATATTTTTTGAGTCTCTCATTGCCCTGGAACTCCCTGATTAGGTTAGACTGGCTGGCCAGTGAGACCCAAGGACCCCTCTGTCACTGCCT